CTACCACCGTTGTTTCTATAAGAATGTTTGGTATAAATTAATAATTATTGATAACCTCAAATTTAACGTTTGTGTCAAAAGTCGCAAATACACGTTTCTTTATTATTGTTTCCATGGTAACTAAGCGAGCGACGCTCGCTCCTCGGAAAAGTGCAACTTTGCGTTTTCTTTTGGAAGCGCAAATTTGTACTTTTCGCTTGGTTGTAGAAAAACGTTTTTTTCTCATTCTACGTAATACGTACTACGTATAGAAGATTGATCATAAGAAGTCCTAATCTACAAAAGGCAGCAAAATAGGAAATTATATAAAAATCATATTGTTTTAATTGGTAGTTAAAAACGATTACGACGTACCTACCTACGATTAAATCTTTTCATGCATTTTTTGAAAATGAAACAATAAAAAAAAGATAAGATTAATTTGTTAAGACGAAAATCGAATTATTAAATAAAGAATTGTCAAAAATAAAATTTAAATTAACAGTTATAAGAGAATACTTTATTAAAAGGAAATCGTACAGAAAAGTACTAGTTCTATTGTTAACAACACTATTATACTTATCAACACTTTTTTACTAGTTTTATGATCTATCTGATTTTATGGTAGTATACAAAGGGCGACTAGGTATAATAATTATTATTATTTTATTTATGAATTTTTCACCAAGAATTTGTAAAAAAGGTTAGTTTTCTATCACGTGGAAATTTTCACTCACTAAAACTATCACTTTTGTTCACTTATTGAACAATCTTCTATTTATAACCGCTAGTACGATTAAGAATAATTTTATATCTTAAACACTACATACTATTTGTTAGCCAGTTTTGAATTTTACAATTTCATTAAAATGAAAAAGTATAAACGGCATTGGAAATAACTTTTTGTTAATCAAAATTACTTTAAGTTTATGAAAAATGTAAAAATAACCGACATCCTGCTACAGACAGTGTGTGCGATTTAGGACCACAACATCACATTATTATTTATTATTTTTATTTTTTTAAGGCTTGCTAAGATCTCCCAAATGGGTCCAAATTTAGAGAATGACCATTTGGCAATTTTTTGTCACATTTTCGAAAAAATCTATAATTTGGACGTGCCGCAAATACTGCCGTGCTTAATGAAAACCCCGTAACCAACAATTTTGCGATTTTTTGTTTACGGCATTTTCTACTAGAACAATTCATCCTGCGTCTATCCCCGGTAATATATAGATACGGTTTTTTGAGTACCGGGGATAGACGCAGGATGAATTGTTCTAGTAGAAAATGCCGTAAACCAAAAATCGCAAAATTGTTGGTTACGGCGTTTTCATTAAGCACGGCAGAATACCTTTTAAGGTTTAGCTCAAATTTTAGAGAACTAAAGTATAAAAGTTAGTTATGATGTTTTTTCAGAGTATACGTAATTTTTTTAATTTTAGGGGGTTTAGTCCCCAGAACCCCCGTTAGATATATAAACTATCCATTTTTCTTTTAAAACAATGATCGTTCTCTAAATTTCGACCCATTTATCTTAAAATCTTATCTTAAAATTAAAACAATATGTACATTAGTGTATATCACTGCGGTCTCTCGTGTACGCCATAATTTGCGATTTTATTAAAAAAAAAACATGAAATATTTGAAAAAGTTTATTAAATATAGTACCTATAATTCTTTGGTATAAAAATATGAAAATCCTCATTATTTTTGTAAAGCCCTCTTGCAGAAATCCTATAATGCCTTTTTACATCTACTTTTTTTCTTCCAAATCTGCGAAGATGTTCTTCGTTTCCGCTGTTAAACATAAAAAATATTAACATGTAAGTAAAAAATTAAATATGCTAGACGAAAACTGCTGAATACAGTTAACTATACCTATAGGTATATTAAAATTAGAAAACTAGTTTCTAGTATCTTTTATTAAATTATCTTATTAGTTGTTTCTCCGCTTATGTTTAAAATAAAAAAGTGTTTTTCAATCGAGATAGAATTTTGCATACGCCACTGGTAGCAGTGGTCCCAATTGTGTCCACGCTACATTGAAAGCGTTATTCTTGTAAAACAGCCGAAAGATACAGAAATATTTTTGTACTTACTTGAAAACCGGCCTAGGTTGATATTTTCAACAGTTATACTTATTTGAAATACACAAACACCGTATAATCCACCAAAACACTTCGAGTACGTACACTCTTTCTTGACATGGGTCGCCATTATAAATATATTACCGCTTACCATGGTGGTGCTGTATACTTTGGAAGTCCCAATTTGGGACACGTTCCTTACACGTGATTGAACACGACATGTACTCAAATGTGCTGGCCCATTTGGTCGTTTGCGATCATTTTTTGTATGAATGTTTTATTTCTTGAAAAAAATTCTAAAATAGTTTATATACCCCTTCCGATATGTCCTGTTTCTTAAAAAAATATTTTAATCGTTGCATATATGCTCAATTACTTTAAAAATAAACATTTCTTCAAAGAGACGCAATTTGATCGCATGTGTTCGCGTACAAATGTGTTCATTTTGGGGACAGACACAAATTGTTTGTCGGGAAGTAGACCTCATCCAGTACTATGTCCCATTAAAAAATATATTAAGATCGGCTAATGTGTTCCAAAATAATGGGTTGTTGTAGTCTTAAATCGCACACACTGTATAATCATTTAAACTAACAAACAATAACAATTACAATCTTCTATCGCTATACATTTAATATAACTCTTAATCATTGCTTTCAATAGCGGTATTTAATGAAATGACATTATTGTATTATATTATTGCAGCTGTGACCTGCTTCTTAAGAGTAAAGACCTCTCGCTTTCACCGTTGCCCCAGTAATGAAGATGTTTAAATACACACACTCCTTGACTGTATGCAATCCCATTTATTTCATTATCATCCTATATGCAATCCTTTAGACTAAAATGACTTAAGATAGCCACATCAAATTATTCTCTAATTTATTGCTATTAGAAATTGTGAGCCATTATAGGAGTATATTATATGTATAAAAAAATTATATATGTTGTTTTCAATATTTATAATTTACAGTAAAAATATACTAGCGTCACTACGGTAAAATTCACACATTTTTATGTAAAAAGAGAAAACGGCAACTAATGACTAAACTTTATTGTTGCAATGCATTATTTATCAACGATACTTCCTTTGTCATTGCTATTAAATAAAACATTAAAAGTTATTTTTAGTTATTAGTTTTTTAATATAAATAATAAATATTATTAATGTTTTTTATGTAAAATTCCGTTATATTTTCCTTAAAAGAAATCAAATGGATATAGTAATAAAAACCTTTGATTTTGTTTTACTTATTGTAAAAACTAATCGCCAATAGCAGTTAAAAACCTTGAATTTATACAATAGATATAGACCCTTAATTTAGCTTATCAGTATATTAACCCTGAACTGGTATTGTTGGTTCAATTTTGACCCGAGCTTTTTTAAGCGTATATATTTAGTTAACGAAACGCAATACATTTTTGAGACTGCAGGTATTCCTCGAGCGTCCAGTTTCCGTTTGTGCTTTGCCCAGTATTTAAATAATTAGTTTTCTAGCCACTGTATTGGTTCCTGAAAAACCCTTGTTAGATTTTGGTTTGGGAATTTCTGCAATGTTTTTTTTATTTTCTTAGTTTGTTTATGTCATGTTTTTTCTAATGTTTTATATTTTAATCGTGTTTATGATCAAAGAAAAAGTATTTTGCTAAAAACGTTGAACGATGTTTTTTTATGTTTATATTTTATTTTCTTGTTTATGTATTAAAAAATTTGAATAAATTGGAGTTTTTTTCATTTTTAAGTTTGTTTCCTCTAAACTAAAAAATTAAAGTATAGTCAAAAAAACTGTAACCTCCCCTCCTTTATTAGGACTGGGTCAAAATTGACCCAACAATACCAGTTGTGTTGCTTGGAAATCACCATACCAGTAACTGCGGCTGGTGGATTTTGCATATGCTGTATCTCACCTTGAATTTTGTTCAACTGTCCTTTTTAATTTAAATCAAAATGAAGTTTCAAAGCTTCAAGTAATACAAAATAGAGCTTTAGGTACTGTATTAAGATGTAGTAAATATACACCAATTAAATTAATGTTAGAAGTATTGGGTTTTATGAGTGTTAAGCAACGAATTACTTTTAAAGCTTTAGATATAATTTTTAAAATAAAAAATAAAATGGTACCTGAATATTTGTATAGTGATATATGTTATTTAAATCAGGTGCATACATATGAAACCAGACAAAATAAAGATTTTTATATTAGAATTTGTAAAAAAAGTAGGACGCAAAAGAGTATTTTTTCCAATGGTTTGAAATTATTTAACGACTTGCCGCAAAGTATTATATTTTGTGATAATTATAATAGTTTTAAAAAAATTTTAAGAGATTACCTATGTTAAAGATTTGTATGTAACAAAAATTGTAAATAACCAAATTGTTTGTTAAAAATAGCTTTGGCTAAATAAACTTTATTTATTATTATTATTATTATTATTATTATTAGACATAGGACCCACACCAAATTTTTATGAGTTTATAATGACACTAAATTAACAAGTTTTGCGCAAGCAGAATTTAAATAGAAGTTTGCGAAAGAAAGATAGTTTTTGCTGCAGCTTCCCTGCAGCCTGCCCCCCCCCCCTAATAAAGATAATACAAATTTTAGTGGTGCAATTTATAATTTACCATAGTTTATTGACAAATATCAAAATTTATTTAAAAAATCCAAGTATTACCGATTTTATTTTATTTTGTATTATTTTAGGAAAAGTAATACAAATTTAAAATGATATAAAATCTGTTCAGGGTTAATTGGTGCGTAAAGACATTTCCATATTGGATACAAAATTGTTTTTAAGAAACCGGTTAAAAAATTAAAAAAACAATGCGTAATAAATATATATAATATAATAACTATATAAACAGTAGTAGTAAATTATCACTTGTATTCACTTGTATTCCTTATAATTCATTTTTACGACATATTCTAGGAACAACCCATAAGCAAATCCCAATCCGAACCTCTTCAAACCGAAGAATCAAAAAAATCCACCAAAGAAATTGTCAACAACAACATTGACAATGACGATAACTCTTTAGAAAGTTCCGATAGTTCCGATGAATCTGACAACTCCTATGAAAACAACGACGATGAAAAGATTCGTTTCAAACTTCCACTTCAACTGGACTTCGATGATTTAGCTGGTGCTCTTATCGATCGAAACCAAAAATCCAGAATGAATTGCGTTGTTGAAAAGAAACGCGCAGAAGAGCTTGTAGACCACCAATCAAAGACTGTAAGATTACCATTTGGAGTTAATTTGACGACTGATCCTAGATTGGAGCGCATTAGTGGAGAACGTATGGCTATTTTCTGCGAAAGTGGACATTTTCAAAGGTTAGTAATTACTATAATATAAATTTAAAATTAAAGTAATTAAAGTGTATAAAATTAAATGGTAGGTATACGAATAATTAAATATATAATATTATTAAAATAATCCAGTTTTTTGTGTAATGATAATCAGTTTGAAAATAATTTTTCTTTTTACCCAATTATACCTAAATATGTTAAGATTTAATGTCACTGAGAATGATATTTTAAATAGCAAATTGCTATTGGCTATACAAGTATTTTTAGTAATCAACTTTTTTTTACTAGTAAAATAAAACTCACTTGTTGTAGCACATTAAAAGGTTAAATTTATAAGTATTGGTTCATTATGTGTTTTCTTTATATAATATTAATTTATTTTTTATCCTTTGAATGAAGGAAGTCTTTATTTATTATTTATGAAAGCAATTTGCCAGTACCTATCTAATTTGTTACGTTTCATAAGGTTTAAGAACTTTCTACTGCAGTTTTAAATATCGTTATTAGTTTTAATTAACAAAATTAAAATTGATTTACCGTTAATGAAATAAAATAAACTAATAAAATAACAAAAATATATTTATTTAAATTTAATTAAAATTTTTTAAATAAATACAGAACAATACAATTGACTTGAGTTTAATCTTGAAATTTTTTTACCTATGTGGACGCTTTGTTGTTATACTGGGTAATCTATTTTCCAATACTGTTGAAAAATTAGCAATTTTGCTTTAGTGTATTCTTTTCTTGACATTTCTGTCTGTAATTGATTGATACTTTTGCAAGAAAAAATACACTTTAATTATACATTTTTTAAAGTTATTACATATATAAATTTAACAAAATTTTATTTTCTGGTTTAAAGATAGATCTTTAGAAATGCAGTTAAACTTTTTTTTTATTTTATTTTTAGTGCACAACCACAACCTCAACCTCAAACTAATGAAGATAATGACGATGAAGATGAACAAGATACTATTATGATTCAACCAGTAATGATCCCAATTCCACATAGTCACTACCCCACACATATGCCCCAGCAAATGGCATCAATGCCTCAGCAGCAACAACCACAAATTCAATTTATTCATCCAATGGAGACTATGAAACCACCTATGCCACCAATGATGCAACAACAAAACCAAATCCCACAACAAAATCAAATGCCACCAAACCCAGTTATACAACACATCATCCAACAAATTATCGCCCAAAAGATCATGGAAAGTCAAAGAGCACAAGTTGAACAACAAAACCAAGAATCTTCCCAGGCTGAAGTAGAACGTATGCCACCACGTATGCAAACCGAAGGTAAATATACATTTTATGGTAGAACAATCTATTATATTTATTTTTAACTACAAATGTTTTAAAATTTATAAATATTATTGTAATGCTAATAAATAATAATTATTTATTTATTATAATTTGCTAAATTTTGCTGACATGGAAAGACATTTTTATTATTCATTAAATAGGAGCAAATTTTAAAGAAGTTATTGAGAATAATTATAATTATTTGTACTAATATTTCAACGATTGAGAAAGTTGGCCATTTCATCCGAATTTCTCAAGAGTTGAACACTATACTTTTTTATAATTTTATTAAAGAATTTAGTACAATTATGTGTAATTACCATAACCACAGGTTCGATAAGAAAGAGCAAAAAATTTGCTACAAAAACAATCTTTTAAAATATTTTCATAGTGGGTGTTTTCCAAAAACTAACATACCTAAAATTAAGGTCTCAATTCCAATTAAAATTTACTTTGATTTTTATCTTGCCTGTTTTAAAGCATTTACTTTAGTTTTTATAGACATTTTACTAGTATTAACCAGTATGTCATATTTTTTAGGTATGATGGGAAGACTTCCAATCCCAGAAGAAGTTTTATCCCAACTTAACAGACTTCCAAACCGTGAAGGTATTGTTGTAGTTTCTGAACAAGAACCAGAAGACAATCCACAAGAACTTCAAGTTATACAACACCAAAGAACATCTCCAGAAGGCATGAATGGAAGACAAACCTACGCCAGAGGACTTCCAGTTGATATTCCAGTACCAATGATGCAACAAGAACAAGAACAGGAACAGAAAGCTGCTCCCTCCGAAGAAACCAGACCTCACTGTAAGTAAAACTGTTTTAAGGAAAAATTTGTATAAAATTTTGTGTATAATTTAGTAAAATAAATATCTTTTTTTAGATGTACAACCAAGGTCTGTCAGATCTGTGGATGCTCTTCTTCCTAAGAACACAAAACGAGTAAAACGTTGTGCTTGCGACTGCTCTTGCTAAATTTATAATGACTAGCATTTTTATGTACCAACTATTATACTTAAATAACTAATAAACACGTTATTAATTTTAAAGCACTGCATTTTACTAATAAATATTAAAATTATTTTATGTAAATATCAATATTAGATTTTTATGATTGGCTAACTGATAGCTTAATGGTTATCTAATTTCTCTAATGTCTTAGATTTTAAATGTAAATAGTTTGTAGCCTATAACTTCTTATTTGGCCTTTTGACTATTGTGATAGATTTAATTTTGTATAATACAAAGTTTTAAATAAACTAAATTTATTTTCAAATTGATGTTTCATTAGGTAACAAAATTAAAGAAATTAAGAAATATGTTTTAAATTGTCAAATCAAAAAGTTTTTAAAGTTTTGGTTAAAGACCACGCATTTCGTATTTAAATATACAGAATCTGCGGTTTTAAATATTAACTCTTAACGCGGCCCCTAGGCTTTGGAATACAACAAAAATGGGACCAGTGAAGGGACCAAAGGGGTCCCTATGTGTTGCCCGCTTGGAGTTAAATGCCACATGCTATTTTTTATCGATTAGATCACATGGAACCCAACACTTTAAAAACACCCTAATTAAGGGCCATCCTAGATTAGAATAAATTGAAATACGGAGCCTGCACCATTGTGCCCAAAAAGTGCTATTGTAGCTTCCGTAACTCTAATACTACAGTGCCTCACAGTGGCATAGTAGGTATGTATAGTGGTTTTTCGTCCACCTCATGGCCACATGTTGCCTTGTCTACCAGTACTAGACGCCCGATGTTATTGTGAAACCTACAGTGGCCCACAATCCACACAACAAGGTCTGTTCGATCTCGTAGTAAAAATACTAAAAATCACTGCAACACTGCACATCATACGATGGCGGCCATTTTTGTTGTTTACAATTATAATAATTGTGCTTTGGGTTTGTACAGATTAATAATCCTTTTAAACGTTGTGTTTCTTACAGAGAGACTTGCAAGCCTTAAAAAAACCTCAAAGTGGTAAGAACAATCATTTTACTCCTCTTTATAAGTGTCAGAACTGTCAAAAATATTTAAAGTCACTTTAGCGGTGTATTATTAGTTGCTGTGTTCCGTAATTTACTGCCATTACTGTCAGTAATTTTACTGTCAGTAGCGGAAAAGGACCGTTCCGTAATTTATTCAGTACTGACGCACAGTGAAATTGGAACGCGCCTCAGTAGCAGCAGAAAGTGACAATGGTTACGCAAGGTTATGATTTGTGATTTACTACTAACAATTGACAAACTTTACTTTCGGCACAGCAGAGAACATAAATAAAAAATAAATATAACAGTTATAAGAAATATAATGTTTGGTTTATGGCAGAGAAATATGGAAAATTTAATGTTATCGTCGTCCGCGTCGAAAAATGTATATAGGAATAGAAAACATAAAATTTCTCTGACACCACACCAATAAGCCAAATACCAAACATTACTCTTAAATTCGTCCGCTGAATACAAATATATAACATTTTCTAGGTACTACCTATAGGTAGTACTATAGTAGGTAGTTTCATATTCTGGGTCTTCGTATGCGTACTGCCCGCCGACCTGCCTTCGTCACTGCTGCTTGTACTTTCAAGTAATATTTTATCATTAAATATTGAAATAATTAGTCCTATAGGTATTCACCAAATACCATTATATGAAATAATTTATATCCTTCACTTTATTTGACAGCTATTTTTTGTTTAAAAGTTTGGTTATGTGTTTTACTGGAGCCACAGCACCTCTCTGTCCCCAGTTGTTTCAGTAAAATTAATCTGCCGTACATTTATAAAAGGGTAGTATTTACCACTGAGCTCAGTAACTGAAAGTGGATTTCGGAATGCGTTTTCAGTACCGACAGTACTGACAGTAAATTACGGAACATAGGCAGGCTGTGTTCCGTAATTTACTGCCATTACTGTCAGTAATTTTACTGTCAGTAGCGGAAAAGGACCGTTCCGTAATTTATTCAGTACTGACGCACAGTGAAATTGGAACGCGCCTCAGTAGCAGCAGAAAGTGACAATGGTTACGCAAGGTTATGATTTGTGATTTACTACTAACAATTGACAAACTTTACTTTCGGCACAGCAGAGAACATAAATAAAAAATAAATATAACAGTTATAAGAAATATAATGTTTGGTTTATGGCAGAGAAATATGGAAAATTTAATGTTATCGTCGTCCGCGTCGAAAAATGTATATATGAATAGAAAACATAAAATTTCTCTGACACCACACCAATAAGCCAAATACCAAACATTACTCTTAAATTCGTCCGCTGAATACAAATATATAACATTTTCTAGGTACTACCTATAGGTAGTACTATAGTAGGTAGTTTCATATTCTGGGTCTTCGTATGCGTACTGCCCTCCGACCTGCCTTCGTCACTGCTGCTTGTACTTTCAAGTAATATTTTATCATTAAATATTGAAATAATTAGTCCTATAGGTATTCACCAAATACCATTATATGAAATAATTTATATCCTTCACTTTATTTGACAGCTATTTTTTGTTTAAAAGTTTGGTTATGTGTTTTACTGGAGCCACAGCACCTCTCTGTCCCCAGTTGTTTCAGTAAAATTAATCTGCCGTACATTTATAAAAGGGTAGTATTTACCACTGAGCTCAGTAACTGAAAGTGGATTTCGGAATGCGTTTTCAGTACCGACAGTACTGACAGTAAATTACGGAACATAGGCAATATATTATTATACTAATAATGCTTTGTTCAATTGGTATATTTAAAGAAGACAAAACAGTTTATGCCAAATCGTCATATTTGATAAATGAATCTGATTTGTGTTTAAAACATACGTGGAGAAGTTTTTTAATCGGTTTGGCACTAAGTGTTGCGACCCATTATCCATTCAAAATCTTAAAATAACCTTATCATTATGCCTGGAAAATAAGCAAGTGAATATTCTACCAAGTTTGGCAATTTGTATAAGCAAACAAAATATTTAAATGAAAATACGAATGCATTATGTTCTTTCGAAATCGAAGAAAGCGATGAACTGTTTAAGTTTTAACTCAAAACCATCCTTATGAAGACATAAGTTAACAAAATTCTCTAAATTAAATAATACCAACATTTTTTGCTGTTTATATCTTACCTACGCCATCCTTGCTACTCACAGTTAAACAATCTTTTTGACCTGGCATAACTCTACTATTATCGTCATCTTTCTAGAATCTTATTACGGATTAATTCGTTGTTTAATTTTCTTCCACTTTCTTTATTTTCAACTCTTGGTAATATTCCGTACTTCTCTCTTAATTTTTTGGCGTTTCTGATAAGATGTTGACTGCAGTTAAACTCATTTTGTATTTTAGAAATAAATCAACTTTTCGGTAATAAACTTTTAATAAAAATTTTATGTTTAATGTAGTTGCAACATTAAATTTAATCTTAAGGTCTTCGATTAGTTCAATGCATTCATCCATCATATGTTCAAATAGTTTCCGTCACACCAAAAACATTTTCCAAATTTCGAGAAATTTGGTTTCCTATTTTAACCAGTATGAAACTTTTTTGCTATAGCAAGAAGTATACTTCTCAGTGAGAAATTCTCACGAAAAAAGCCCATTTGATGGTGCAGGAGGGACAATTAAGAGAATGTTGCTAAAATATTTTGTTGGTATTACATTTTTCTTCTTTATTGGGGGCTAAAATTAAAAATGACAATTTTTCCCAGTTAGTTTTTAAAGTAGGTATATCACGAGCCTATCGCGATATCCCAGATATCCTAGACCATGCGGGATAAACTTTTTGTTGAACAAAACTTAATAATAATTATTATTTAGTTTTTATATGGTTTTTAAGTACCTCAGGCAGGCTTGAGCACAATTAATTTTAATTACTCTAAATCTCGATGCCTACCATCTCCTTTATAAGTTTCACTTTAAAAGTGTGCTTATAAAGGGGCGCACTCACTTTTTTTTTGATTTTTTAATTTTTTGGATTTAGATTTGATTTTTATAACATTGATATTATTAAATTATTGTTTTTGTATGTATGTAACAGTCAAAGTATATATTTTAGCAAATGTACCTATACAAAAACTAGATGGTGTTTACATTTAGGTAAAAAATTAGTGTTTGTTGGTTTTGTGTGTTGGGTTTGTTTAATTTGTGGGTTGGGTTGGTTAGTTTTATTTTATGCACACTTTTGCTACTTTTGTGAAGTCAATGTATATATTGATGTTTATAAACATCTACTAGTAAGTAAGTTAATGCGCTTTTGAATACATTTACGTATCAAAATCAGCTATTGTATTATACAATTTTTATAGATTAGCTAGTTAGTGTATACATTTGCGAAATAAACATATATATTAATTTAAAAATATATAAATGTTTTTTAGAAAAAAATTCTAACTTAAAATTATAATAAACAAACATAATTAACTTTACTTTAAACAGCACAATATTTTGCATACTGGTTGTAATAATTTTATATAGTACTCGTACTTTGTTTAACACCAAAGAAAATCCTTTTTTTCTTCTTTAACATTAATAGCCGCTTATTGTAAATAAGTAAATTAAGTGCGGCATGGCGAATCGATTTTGACATTAACTGCCAAACAAATGAGTGTGATACCAACTATCTAAAGTAAAATTCGACCAAATTAAATTTAAGGTATAAATTTTTTTTATAGAACTTTTGCAAACTAGATAAAATAGCATAAAGAACTCATGTCATAAGACCTTTTGTCGCACTCGTCCATTATATATATAAATTGTCCGCCTGCGATAAAATGACTTATCCCTTGTCTATGTCCAAAAGGCCAACTTTGACATTTGATTTAGGTTTCTATGAGTTTGATTTAGGTTTTGTCTTCTTTTTGAAAATTGCAGTTTTCGCGGTTCCAAATGCATTTTAGCGTAACATGTAAAAATTTCCATTGACTTCTTGCCATTTAAGGTACAAATTGCCTTTAAACCCAGAAACCAATACAGTATGTGTACTTTTATTAAAATATATTTAGATTTTTACATATACAGAGGGTCGTGCACCATCTTGCAAGTGAATGATCTACAGAACCCAGAAATACCGGAAAATTGTTGTCTCGCTGATTTTAGAGTGGTTTACTTCTCGGTGGAATATTCGATTTTTTTTTTAATTAATTTTGTAATAGCAAAAATATTTATCTGAAAAAAAAAGTATTTGGAGAAGTTAATAATTACGGTCACATCTTAGGCTCGCCAACGGCACTTGGTAATTTAATTATTAATTAATGAAAAGTAACAATAGTGATTTGGTATTGGTA